ATATCACTTATATTTTTATAAAACCATATAGACTGCACAACGTCACAGCACACTTTTTTTTTTCTTTTTTTTTTTTTTAAACTAAGTAAGGCTGCTCCCCTAGATGAATATTTGTGCCCTGTAAAACTGATCAGAAGACAGTTTCCTAAATGCAGTATTTTTCTTTGTTGTACTACAAAATATGCTAGGATTTTACCTGAGAGAGAGAGACGTGGTTTAGTGAACAAGACAGAAATGTCTGAGTTGTGATTCTGGGTGCTACTAACTCCCTCTTGGGTAACTTTCATTCTCTGCCTCAGTTTGCCATATGGGGTGTCCTGAATCCTAACTTCAAAAATGAAAAGTCCTAAATAATCAGTACGTATTTTTCCTGTTTGTTAGTTACACTGGAAAACAGTAAAAATCCTATACATTGTAGGGGAAATAATTCATAGTAGTATAAATGCCGGAATTATGATGCCTCTATTAGATGGATCATAGCAGTGATCTCAATATTTATCATAAGAATTTTTGTCCAGTTTTTGTCACTAAATAAAACCCAATGAAATTAATAATATCCTACCTATTACATATTTATAGGAAGTTATAGTCTAGCAAAATGAAGTTCACTATATAATGACAAAGTTAATATTTTGCTCATTCACCAATGTACATCTTGGATTATTGTTTAAAAACAAAATGGACCATTTAGCCTGACAAAATACTTGCACAACAGCAAACATATTTTGATACTAAATTTTAAGACCAGTAAGATTTGAAACAATTAAGATATGAAACCATGAAATGGGAAGCTAATATGCCACACAGGAAGGTTTATTTTGCAATTGAAAGTTTATCTGTTTGGGACGGATGTGAAAATAAACATCCTGAAAAGGATCTCCTGTGTTGCCAACTGGCAGCCAGACAGTAGAGCAGACTTAACCATTCGTGGCCAGGCTCATTGGGTGTGTGAGTTGTTCACAAAATTGCATGCAAAAATCCAGTCGGGACACTGGTGTTCTAATGGTAATGCAGCAGGTCACCAAGTGCAAACCCTGATCCCTGAGCTAGGAAGAGCTGTGCTGAGTTTCTCACTCATACAGCATGCTCACGAGTTACTACTGAGCTAATGTATCTGGATTGTTTCTACCTCTTCCTTGAAAACCTGTAAGGAGCTCTTCTGCCCCTTACCCCTGCTCTTCCTCCTCTAATAAATAACCTCCACCCTCCCCCAATACTCAACATCAGACTCTTGCAGATTACGTAGGGCTTAAGTTGGGTCAAAAGCTACAGATGCTATCTGCCATGTAGGCTGACTGAACCAAAAGAGGCAAAGCACGTGTAAGAGCTTGCAATGGAGTTGTTCAACTTGCCACATCCTGGGATGGAAGCTTATGCTCATGCAGGTGGTGATATTAATTAATTTTCTCCTACAACAGTGGGGCTTACTAGGGGCCACTGAGAGTGCGACCCCATTGGACAAAGTGCTGTACATACACATAAGAGGGTCTTTGTCCGAGGGAGATGACCTGCTCAAGTTCACAGAAGAGATCGCTGGCAGAGCAGGGAATAGAACCTAGGTCTCCTGAGTACCAGTCCAGTGGCCTGTCCACAGCACCATATTGATTCACAAAAAATAAAATGCTCCTCAAATGAGCTCCCTTGCTCTACTACTTATTTTCAGACCTGTCCATCACACATTCCCTGGTCCTAAGGGCATGTCTTCACTAGCAACATTAAAGTGCTACCGCGGCAGCTTTTTAACATGGCTGTGTAGGCGCAGCACAGCTCTGGGAGAGCGCTCTCCCAGTGCTATTAAAAAAAACAAAACACCACCTCCATGAGGGGAGTAGCTACCAGCGCTGTAGCACTGTCTATACTGACACGTTACAGCGCTGAAACTTGCAGCGCTCAGGGGAGTGTTTTTTCACACCCCTGAGTGAGAAAGTTGCAGCGCTGTAAAGTGGCAGTGGGAGAAACAACCATGCACCATCTCAGATGTGGGGGATGGGCAATTCTAACCCAAGCCTAAGGGATAAGCATCTAATAAGAAATAAGTTGCCTGGAAATGGGGGCATGGAGGGGTGGCAACAAACACACCCATTATTAATTATTTTCAGTGGATATACTTCATTCACTGCTGATCAGCTAGGGAGGAAATCCCCATCCTGATCAGTGTCATGGTGTGTAGGGGCATGCTCCTTCCTTGGACTGGAGCTTCTTGAGTGGCTACCTCATTCCTGTTCCCTAGTGCCCCTAAAAGAATGATCTCTAGGATTCAGGACCTTTTTGCTACCTCTTACAGGCTGTTTTCCAAACCAGAGCTGAGAAAGTGGGAGCATGATAATTTCAGGCCAGAGTCCCTATACGTTTCTACCCCAGCTGACTGTCATGTGTCTATATGCCGGGCTGTTCTGAGCTGCAGGTTTTCCTTTGCAGAATGTTTGTTTGAGCCACCCTGCAGTCATTAGGCAGTGAGTACTTCTCTCTCAAAACAGAATAATCTCTGTTGCTGCAGGGAGCCCAGAAAGCCTGAAAAACCTCCAGTCAATCAGGTGGGATCCTTTTTGGCCAGACACTGCCCTCCCATCAGCATATGTGAAACTGAGCATGTGCAGATGAAGTGCAAAGTATAATCTACAAGGCCAGCATTTTCAAAAGTGACCAGAGATGTTATGTGACTCAATGTTTTGGGTGCTTAGCTTGAGAAATCTTTTGTATTTAATTTTTTTTCCCCAA